GACTAATCAGGAATGAGAGTAATGGTGAAGGGTGATGACATGGTTGTCATAGCTTTCCATTTCCTGAGATCTACTTAAAGTATTTGTCTGGTTACATCTTGACACGTGCTTTCCTGGCTTTGATCACCCAAACATCTAAGTGAAAGTCCCAAAACAGAGCAGCTGTCTAGATTTTGATTTGAATAGCATAGAAATGATCCATAGTTTAGCGGGACCAGGATCTGTGCTTATTTTGGTAGCGACAATGATATCTTGTGCCAGTGAGTTCCACAGGGTAATTATACCTTGTAATCTACACTTGGCAAGCTGGACAGAGAACCTTGTCTTGCACTATCTGTACTTTATTTGTGGAGCACTTTTCCTGAGTGCTATTTAAAATAAAAATAATACAATATAAACTCTCACAACAACAGCTGGCTGAAACCTAAGGTTTCTGATTCACTGGACTTCTTTTTAATTTGGTTTCAGTCCAAATTGTACCTAAACCAAAATTAAAAAAAAATTCTGGCAAACTGGAAGGTCCCCAGCCCTTGTGGCTGCTCAGGGAAATTTATGTTGCTGTCTGCATCAGTTCCACTGAATAGCTCCAGGGGGTTTCCAGGATCAACAGCTCCAAGACAGACCCATCAGACAGCATTGAACAGAGAAGTTTCAGGCAAAATTCTGGGGGTTCAAATAACCAGAAGACAAAACTTTGGTTCTTCAGAAAAGTTCTGACCAGCTGCATTCAGAATATACTTCATCAAGACAGTGAATAGAGGCAGGGTATTTCACACAGGCAGAGGAATAAGAATGAATATAGAAAGGAGAAAGGAAATAAAGTTGAGATTTAAAAGCAGTTCAGATGAAGGTGCAAGTATTTTTACAGAGTACTTACTGTATCTGAGGCACGGAAAGTTGAGTGGTGCCTATTGTCAATCTTGGGATACTGCAAAAAGGCAGATCCCTATGTATGATTGCATGGTACATGATTGACAGTAATTCAGCAATTGCCATTCTGGCAGCTATAGATAAAATGCATGAACATATGTATAATTTCTGAATGATTTGAAGGCATTATCTTGAGCATAAATAGTGACTTTAAAACGAAGATCAAATCAGTGTGAAATAGAGGGCAATCTGGTTTCAAAGCAGTGCGCCATATCAGCATAGCACATAGCTGCTGTAATGTACCCAATGTAAAAGAATTGTGTTTTATTATAATTCAAGTCCTCACTTAAAGACATGGTGTTTGGGGATACTGAGCTAATTTGACCGCTGCATTGGAGTTTGTACCTGGTTATGTTGTCCTGAGTGGGGGGCTGGACTAGATGACCTCCCAAGGGCCAGTCCTGTTTTTCTATGATTGTATGCCAGCAGTTAATTTGGGAAGCTTGGTGTACAAACTGTTCTTGCATGTTCAGGTCGGATGGAGAGTAATATTGCTGTTCATTTCACCCATATTAGCACATCCCCACAGGCAAGTTCTAGCCAGTGATTAATTACAAATAAAAAAGAATTAGGAATGTCAAGAAAAACATTGTGAAAGATGAAAAATGTATCAGCTCCATAGCTAATGTTGAGACAAGCTTTTAACAACGCAGGAATGAAACAGTTGTTTTTAACCTGTGGATGATTTAATCAAGCCCCCAGATTTTATGCTAACTATTGACCCTAGAAACTATGAAACTATTCCAAGAGCCACTGAACTTTTAAGAATATATTTGTTTTAAGAATTAGTCACTTGGGTAGCAGAAGTGTTGAAATAATGCTCCCTGTTTGAAATTAAGTCAGCAACTGAGCATTTTATAGAATTCCCCCCTAGGAAGTTATAAGCACCAATCTTCTCTATCTCTCTGTCTCTTTAATGCACGCACCCACATACCCGTGCCCTGCATTACAAGTTACAGATTCCTGTATGGAAGATTGAGCCACCATAGTATTTTCTATCTCCCGAAAAGGTAGCTGACAGAGCTATCTGGCTGCTTTCTGTTTCCAGCACTACCTGCCAAGTCTCCTAGGCTCAACATCTGGGCTCACCACAATGCCCTGGAGAGAGAAGGAGAATTAAGGGCTCTATGGTTATCTGCAGGGCAGGGAATACAGGGCCTGGCAGTTTCTTTTGGTAAGAGTGTCAGTGGGGAAAACAGACATAAGGGAGGTCTGGGGGTCATCTATGCCAGTTCTCAGCAGTGTTCTTAGCTGGTGGGCCAGATGACCCAGTTTGAGATGGGCCAGCACCAGGACCCAACTGGTACTGCCACCAATTCTCCCCATCACCCCATTGTGGCACTGGCAAAGTGCCTGGGCATGGCACGGGCTAAGTGCCCTACTGCCTGACTGTGGTGGGCTCAGTGACCCCACTGCTGGATGTCACTGAAGCCCCCCAGCTCTCAGCTGGATCCAGTGGCTCTATGGCCTGGATCTGGCTTGTGGGCTATAGATTGCTGATGCCAGATCCATGCCATCCAATCTATGGCTCTCCCAATACTGTCTTCCCCATTTTCTTCCCTTTTACACATTTCACTTCAGATCTGAGGAACCTTCTGTGGTTCAGCATAAAAAGACTGGTGTTGGCGAACTGCACATGGTTCAGAGTTATCTAAGATGTAGGAATGATAGCACCTATCCACTGGCATAACCTGGTTCCTTGTCAAGTTTGCAAGACAGGGAGTGTGCGAGTATGAGCACAGAAGGATCTCTTATCCCAGGAGCAGAGCCGGCAGCCCTGCTGCTCAGATGACAACTCCTGCTGGTGAAGCATGTGCAGAATTTTGCAGGAAACTCCCTGCTAGGAGGATGTATTGACTACTACCTTTATTCTGTATTTACTGTTAGCTCTCTTTCTTTACGTATACAATCTCCAGTGGGTTAACTGCTCACAGTTAGGAAGAAAAAGTGGGGCTCTTGTTGGGTTTGCCAACTAGTGACACATGTCAAATGTTTCTGCTGGTGAAAGGGATCTTTGTGCTTTATCTTGCTACATTCCTTTGGGACTTTAGAGCCAGATTTTTTAAAGCAAGTTCCTATATAGCACCTGCACACCTGGGGAAACAGGTATTGGTATGCATCACCCATTTTGCATGTACAACCTGTTCTTTGTGCCTTTGCTTACACCTGGTTGCAGCAGCTGCCTTCTGAACACAGGTCCTTAATATATAATAATTAGGTATAATTTTGCTCCCTCAGAATGATAAGAGCCTATTTCTCCTCTTCCTACAGCAGCTTACCTATAGATTCCTTGCTTTTTGACACAGATTTTTGGTTCCAGTATATTGTGAGTCTCCAGAGCTTAGATAGTCATAGCAATCTGGCTGTTATATAGAACTTATTAGAAGTTCTTTCATGCACAGCATCCTTCCAGAATAGCTCTTCCCAGTTTTTAACTATTCAGTCCAAGAACGAGGAAGCAAGTGGGCAAGCCTGCTGACTGCTTTTTGTAACCTTTTAGTTGTCTGACATGTTTTTCTGGATTAGCAGGCAACACTTCACATTCTTCTACTCTGACACAGGCCAGGGATGGAAAACTGCTAGCAGCAGCATATTCTGAAACACAGGGTTGATCCAAAAGCACATGTGAAACTTGTGAGGTTGCAGTTCTTAAGAATGGCCACAACCATGAACACTCCTCTTTGCTATTTTGCATTTTTGCTTTTAGTCTGAGTCACGGAGCATTATTCAAGGTCCCACCCAGAAATGTCTTTTTTTCACACTGCCTTGAATGCCCTCAGCTGTATCACAAGCTGTGGCACTGTGTACAGAGCAGTTGGAAGGGTGTTGGCTGCCTGTGTAGGCATACCCAGAGTTGCATCACTTTATCTGGTTGGAATAACAGTGCAGTGAAAACTGAGCAGTCTGGATTGTACAAGTACACCAGAGACCTTGGATACTTATTCAGGTGACCTCTGTGCTTTTACATTGTTACTCAAGCTATCAAAAGTATTATCCTGGTTATGGCTACACATGCTGTGATCCCATCTCCTGACTGCGGAGAGGACAGAGCCTGCAACAGATTCTCCTATGTGTCCAGTCATTTCTGAACATGCATAGTGTGAGGGGAGAGGAAGGCAGCAATGCAGCTTCATGTGTCTCTCTGAATTTCAGGCCAGCTCTGCAGTGTGGCACTGCTAAATGCACCAGCTGGGAATGCCCTGGTGGGACACTCTACCAACCCAAGATATTCAGAGCACACAGCTCCTTCCTAGCATGTTGCCTACTCCAGGGACTGGAAGAAGTGGTGTAGGCAGTGGCTATACTGGCTCTCTTCCCCCACATCAGAGAATCTGGCCTGTTTCCAATTCTGGCAGGGGAAATACCATGACCACTAAGGTAGTTTTCCTAGTTGCAGGGGAAAACCACTTTCTTGGGAAGGGGTAGTACCCTGACTGAGGTAATGCATAGATAACCTCCTACTTCCACTTCCAGTGGCTATACACTGACTTTATGGAAATGGGAGTCTCCTCCCTAACTTGCTCCTGCGGCCATATGGCTGAAGGCAAGTGAAACTTGGGGGCATCTGAACCTCAAGTCTCTGGGTTTGGGCCTGCATGTAGGATGCCCACCAAAGGATTTGGAAGCATCCGAAGCCCCAGGTGGGGGTGGAGGATGCTTGCCGGTAGCAGGGCCACATCTGGTTCTTGAATTACTCATGGATACGGAATTGATTTGGCTTGGAACATGAAAAATTTTCAAAATTAAAAGAAAAATATCTGGCATATCTCCAATCAGAGGGCAATGGTAAGGGGATACTTAAAATGTCTGTTTTACTTTGCTGCTCCATCACCCGTTTCAATTAGGTAATGGTCTGAAATAAAAGAGCAGGGCAGTGAGAAGTGGTCCTTAAGAAAATAAAGTGAGATGTTTTCCAAAGCTGTTCTTTTCCTGCCTCACCTTTGTCGGGTCATGTAAAAATGCATTTCTTTCTCTCTCTCTCTCCAAGGAAACAACATTGAGCCAAGTGCTCCTTGAGGGCTTCCATCTCTTAGTGTTTCAGGTACCTCTGGGGGGAAAATGGTGCTTTGAGCAGCTTTGAATTCAATGTTCCCTTCAGCCCTCGGCCCTTCTGTTTCAATTGCTTGGGAGTATTATTTTAATCATGATGCTTTGCAGGCTATTGTCTTTAGAGAAGGGTCTTTACAAAAAGCTTATGTGGAAAATGAAACAAAATTAACAAAAAAGGGCTTTATGATTCAAATAGAAAGACAAAGAGTGAAATTAGGAAATTAGCATCAAAGGTGAAACCAACATGAATGTTGTCTTCATCCAGGTTGAGTGAAACCTAAAAATGGAAGGAACAATATAAATTAATAAGATATAGTTCAAACATCAGGGCATAAAGCCAACTTCTAATTTTTGGTTGCAGAGGAAGGACATTTTCCAGGAGGGGACCATGTTAAAGGACACTGGATGAAGCGGGCTAATGGTTTGATTGAGTCTGTCAATTCCGATCTTCTTTGAAGGGCTTTTGGTTGCAGCCATGCTGGTCTAAGGACATAGGCAGGCAAGATTCTTTGGGTAGATGTAATATCTTTTATTAGACCAACTAAGCATTTGGAAAAAAGTTCTTTGCAAACTTTTGGGCACAAACACTCCTCTTCAGGCACAGGGAGTTTCTGCTGCAGTGGCGACTCGTAGGAGGTGCTCGGGGATACATGTATACCCCCTGAGAGCACTGGTGCACCCCCTGACAGGCAGCGTTCCCTGCTTAGGTGATGGGTGGGGGGGCAGGCAGGAGTGCGGGTAACCCCCCTGAGAGTACTGGTCAGGGAGTGGGTGCACCAGGAGAAGCACCACTGGGCCTTCTGGGTGCGCTGCTGGCACTTCTGGTCAGCATGATCAGCCGCGGGGGACCACCCTCCCCACAGTCAATGACTGGCCACTGTGGGGGGGAGGGCAAGTGCCACCCCTGACTTGGGAGGCACCAGTCACTCATGCTCTGCTGTTCTGAGATCTCCAAGGAATGAAAGAAGCTAAAAGTATGGCAGAATGTCAGTAGGAATGTAAATCGGTGGAAATTAGGAAAGCAATGGGTAGAGAAGAGAAGGGAAGGGGAGAAATGATGGGGAAATAATGCCAAAGGTAAGTAAGGAAGACACTACCCTAGTTGAGTTCTCCAAGGTAGGAAAGAGGCAGTCTATGAAAAAGTAAATAGCTGGAACTTAGGAAGACAAAGGGTAGAAAAGGAGGGGAGGGGAAAAAAGTGTAAGTTTCATAGTAGTTTCATAGTAGCTAGGGTCAGGAGGGACCTGAACAGATCATCTAGCCTGACCCCGTGCCACAGGCAGGAATGAATGCTGGGTTCACAAGACCCCAGACAGGTGATCATCCAAGGAGACAGGTGATCATCCAACAAGTGATAAGGTTAGGCAGGTACCTGGTGAGTCAGATGTCAGGCAGATTGTAATGTGTCATAAATCCGAGGTCTATGTTGAGTCCATGAAGTGGAGTTTGTAGGCTTATCTATGGAAAGTGTTTTGTAAGTTCCCTTTGAGGATTAGAACTGAGGGATCGGAGAGGGAGTGGCTGTCCTATGAGAAGTGGGCATCCACTGGTAATTGCATATTTTTGTCTTTGATGGATTTTCGGTGTGCAGTTGGTGTTTGGTTTCACCAGCATATTTTCCATCAGGACATTTGGTGCACTGAATGAGATGTATCACATTTCTGCAGGTGCAGATGTGAGATCCAGGGATGAGGATGGTTCTGTGATGGGATGTGGTTATTGTGGGGGTGGTGGAGATGTGTTGGCAGGTTTTGCATTTCTTGTTCTGGCATGGTCTGGATCCATTGGGTATGCTTTGGGTCACGGGGAGTTTGTTTCCAGCGATGAGGTTAGCAAGGTTTGGTCCTTGTCTAAAGGCTAGGATGGCTGGTTCTTCCTTGAATTGATTCTTGACCTTATTTCATGGCGTCCTGAATTTATTCTGATAGAGTCTATCTAAATGCTTTCTTTGGGCAGTCAACCCCTCCTCCATGAATGCCACATACTCCTGGAGGCTGGGGGGGATGGCAAGCTCCTGCAGGTGGTAGCAGGAGTGTCAGAGGTGGGAGTGTGGCAGCATCAAGCGGTGAGCTCCTGTAGGCAGCTGCAGAGGTGCCAGCCGCGGTGGGGGGTGGGGTGGCGGCAAGCGCTGACTAGCAGTCAGTGACCACCCACAGATGCCACTGGCAGCCTTGGCAGTGGCCAGCAGCAATCAGGAACCACCTGTAGACGCCTTCGGCGGTGTCGGCAGTGAGGGGACAGGGTGGCAAGTGGTGACCGCCAGTAGGCACTTGCCAGCAGTGTCGGCAGTGCTTTTTGCAGGGGGGTGCACCACCAAGCTCAGGGGGGGCATGTGCACCTGTGTGTGCCCCCTACATGTTGCCAGTGCCCTCCTCTGTTTTCTCTTTCTCACCCTCTAGAGTGGTTTTTAGAGCAACATGGTGTCTGTACTGCATCCCTCTGATATGACAGACAGACCGATCCGAAGTTTTGTCTTGCACAAAACATATCCAATAAAGCTCATGGGCCACACAAGATCATCTGTAGTCAGCTCTGCCAACCTCTGTGTTTCCTGTAGTTTTTTTCCTCTCCCACTCTCAAGAGTGGGTTTCATTTACTAGTCCACTCTTCATCATGAGCGTAATGCAAACCTTCAAACACTGGGGAGGAGTGAATCCAGGGAGAGACCGTTAGTAGCTTTTACAGCTGTTTGCTGCAGATTTAGACTGGAAGACTAGGAGGGGAGAAAAAAGGTATAAATGGTGCCTCCCTGAATAAAAGGGCTCTATTATGGGGAGGGGAGGGGGTGGAGAATGAGAAGGAAGATCAAGGTAAGAGCTCTGGAGAGTCAGGAGTTGTCAAAAAGCCTTTCCCATCAAGTAGGCTTCAGAGAACCATAGCAGACGGATTTTCAGTAACAGTCAAATGTAAGAGTGTAGGAAGTTGACATGCCATCCCTTGGAGAGCTGAGGTATTGACAAAAGACATGCAAACTTGAAAAACGTACATTTGTGGAAAAATCCATCATGACAAGTGACTGCGCTTAAGTCACCAAATGGACCTTACCCCTGGGACAGAACTCAATTATAGTTGCACATCCAATGACTCCATCCAGGGATAAAATGAATGGCTAATAAAAGGGAAGCATGTGGTAATCAGATCTTTCAAAAACTATTTAGCTTTTTGCCACTGAGTACCTGCTATAATTGACGTGCACTTCCCTACAAAACTGCTGCGCTCCTCAACTGGTCAGAAGTGCTGAGCCTTTCTGAGCTGTTCTGAAACACAAACACATCTTTCAGGACTCACTTAATCCTCTCGAGCTCCTCTGAGCAGGAGTCTCACTTAGCCTTTCAGTCCCCATTGGTATTAATTGCACATGAAGGATGTTTCAGAATTTTTGAATGTTTGTACGCTATTAGCACTTAGAGCTGTTTAATGGTAAAAAAAAGAATGGTGTACTGAGAGATTGCCAGTGGAGGTCCATTAAGCGTGCAGCTAGCTAGGTTCAAGGTAAGGCAGACCTCTATACTGAGCGAGAACATGTCTGATTCGCAGCTGCTGCTGTGAGTTTAGCTTTCTGTATCAGTCTTCCCCCGATCACACTGTCTTTTACCCAACTTGTGTAGGTTTTTTTTTTATTTGTCATCCTTTCTGTTCCAGTCTGCCTGCAATTAAGATCATGCATAAGTTCTTTTTTGTAAAGAAAAAAATCCCTCTCTTGGGTTTTTCCTTTCTGCCTGGTAAATGAAATACCATTCAAGGCATGTGCTTAAGAATGCACCTGCACACATACTTGTTTTGCAACATAAAACATCTTGGTGAAACTGAAATGTTGGGTATGAGAACTGCAACTACGTTGAGCTAAAAGCAGACAACAGGGGCTGGTAGATAACTTCCTGTAGTATGGAAGCTGGATGCAAGTATATTAGAAATCCAGTTAATCATGATAATAACAGTGGGCAAGTCTTCACATGCACTTTAATGTGCATTAGCCTATTTTAATGTGCATTAAAGCGTCACTGAAAAATGTGCCATTTAGTTAATGTGCATTAAAATAGGTGAATGTGCATTGTGTCATTTAAAAACTGTGCTCTTTAGTTAATGTGCATTAAGACAGACTAATGCACATTTTCCTAGTACCTCACAATGGAGGTACTAGATTTAATGCATATTATCTAAAGTGCATTAATTGAACAGGTAAATGCCCCATATGATCTTAGACCTATTCCTAAGGCCTTTTCTATTTCTCAGGATCTCAGGATTTGGCCCAACCCATTTCTCCATTCGTGATCACAAGCAGCAGTGTCGGTGTTCTGTTGTGGATGCCGGCTGAGTCACATGCTCACTATGAGGGGATAGGTAGGGGATCTTTGTGCGGCCCTCTGTCCATAGCTGTCGGCAGCCCTTGTATATTGAGCAGGACGGGATATCATAGCTAAATGGGCCAGCTGCATCTTGGCTCCCTGCCTGCCTCTCTGAGTGCACACTCATAGGTGTGAGGCTTCATGCCTTACCTTTGCTTGGTGAAAGTCCTCACTTCCCCACCTTCAGCTCTCATTCCTGTGTATCAACCATGCTTACTCAGCAGGTCCAACTAAGTTTTGGCACTGTGGTTTTTTTATCACAGACTTTGGGAGTCTGTGATAAGTGGCACAAGCAGCAGCCAGTGTTCTTAAACCAAAGTATTTAGTTTAAAAGCAAGCAACAGGAGCTTTAAAACAACACCTTATGCTGGTGTCTCTCTTACTCATTAGCTTGTTCTATGCAGGTGGAGCAGGTCCAAATTTTTCAGCCACCCCAGAAATGCCTAACTCTGTCTAAACAATTACCCCCCTTTCTCAAGTAAGATTGTTCAAGTGAAGACACTCTTTTAACTGCCAGACTTCCCATGTTCTGCGTTTGCAGGGCAGGGAGGGGGTTTACCATTGTGGACAAAACTCTTTGCAGGTTGAGTGGGGAGGAACTAAAACTTTCAGATTGATCAGGTCAGGTATTGTCTCTTAACCCTCCAGTGTTTGCAAAGAAGTGCTGAGTTTTGAGCCATTCTTTCTCCTTCCTGCTTGTTTGCTTCTAAAAATGTTATTTAGAAAATGTCTTCCCTGTCCTGCAGAACATTTTACATTTCCAAATTTTGTGGCAATTCAGAATGAAATTTTCTTCTGAAATGTGAAATTCCATTTCCCACACAACATATATAATATGTATTTACACACACACATACAGGCTCCTCACCTACCACAGAAAAAGGAATGTCCTTGGATTTGAAATGAACTGAGCAGTTTGCTTTTCCTTCTTAATTCTCCTCTCTCTGCATTTGTTCCACCTTGGCCTCTGTCCCAGCTTCATCCTCTATATTTTTCTCATCTTTCAGCCACCTTCCATGACTGCCTTTGTGCTTAGAAGTACTTCTTGACTGTCAGGCAACAAGTTCCTGTTTCTTCAAAACCTTCCTTGAAGGACACAGGAATCCTTTAAACCTTTTCGCAATTATATGTGGGAATATTGGCACAGAGAAAAAATACAAAGCTATTTGAAGGCTGTCCTTGGGGAGCTGAAAAATCATCTCATAGCTCACCAATAAGGGCATTTTCTTAAGAACTTCTTATATTCTTTCTAAATACATGCCTGTCCTTCAGCAGGCTCCAAGTAGAACATCTTTGTTTAACACCCTTTGTCCTTTTTTCCTTTGTGAACATATGACTCAGCACACCAAAAGCCTACTCTGTAAGCCCACCATTACACAAATATTTTCCATTGCTTGCAGAATTTCCTGAATGCAGTGGAGAAGTGGTGTGGTATTTGAGACGGGAGGGAGGCATGTGCATGTCATGGACAGTCTAATTAATTATTTGCTAAATGGTCTCCAGAGCTGCCCTAGTTTGGATTAGGATTCTGCCAGTCTTCCTGGGATCACACTGAAGCCATTCAGAGGTGCAAACATTTGTCTGCTTAGTTCTGCATTTCAGTGATAGATGCAGTTAAGAAAACACAGCTGTGTTCTTCACAAAAAAAAATAAATAAATGAAAAGGAAAGAAACTTCTGTGTTTCCAATGGAGCTGCTCAGTCTGATTAGGTCTGGGATCAAATGCTACTCTCACACTATCAGCCATCAGTGACAAGCCAGTTCTGGCCCCTCCATGAAAAATTCAGCGGCATCTTCATCTGAGTCTCTGAAGTTTAAGTGTGTCACAGGGTAAAATAAAGGAGTGTGCAGTAGTCAGGTGGCCCTCTTAAATATGCATGGTATGATCTTTTTGTTTCAGAGCTACAAAGACTACGTGATCCTGCCATCTACCCCCAAAACTTTTGAGCTGCCCCAGCAGGCTAAAGAGGATGGACAGCTGATTTTAATAGGAACAAACTTCAGGGAGCCCTGCAGCAGTCCTGGGCTAGTGAACTGCTGAGAGCACAAATCAGAGCAGCTGGGCTGCTTTAAATTGCAGTTCCTGGATTGGGAGAATCAAAGGATTGCAAAAGGCCTTTTACCTTCCCTGCCTTGCCCATGCCTTGAGGAGCTCTGAGGATTTGGCTCTGATTTGTGCTCTTACAAGGGACTTTGAACCAAAACACTGACATCAAACAACACGAGCACTCTGAGGAGTAGGAGACCTTGGGCCAGTTTTACTAAGCTATTTAGGTATGAAAAAAGCAGGTAGAGAGGATTTACACAATGCACTTAAGTGATCATAGTTCAACAGAAATTAGATGCCCTACTAGTTTAGGCCAGATTAAAGCTCTTTAGGCTCTTACCTGCATCTTTCAGTACCTAAAGACCGTTACAGAACTGGATGCTGATGCATAGAATGAGTATTATACGTGCTTTTATTTACTCTCACTCCGGCACACTGGTCTGTGGTGACCTTGGCTGTTGGTTGGTTCAGTCTGAAGACATTTTATAACATACAAATGACTCAGTGAAGGGAAATCTGCCCCCCCCCGTTCCCCTTGCACTGCAAAATAATAAGGAAAATAAAAACAAAAGTGCCCTGAGGCTGTGACTATCCAGTTTAAAGGACTTCATTTTTCTCTCGCAGAGCAACACTGAAAGCCTCTCCCTACTACATGCGCTAAACCAAGTCCCATCTGAGATGGGAAAGATTTGGCAGCTTTGTGCAGTACAAGAGCTGTGTGGTTCTTCTTTCCTGTTCACGCTGCCTGGTCACATTCCAGCTTTAGAGAGCTTCGCAGAACACCAGCCTTTCCTTCCTCTTGTATCTTGTTGGGTTCAGAATCAAAAAATTAACCCCAAGTCAATCTCCATATACGCACTGATAAACCATGAAAAGGAATGGTTCTTCAGGGCTTCCCTGGGCTTCTGCAGCGAATAAACATGGATAGTTATTTTGTTAAGCCCAGCCTTCAGCCTGTGATCCACTAATGATCAGAGACAGGAAAAGGTTAATTCTGGCTTGATACTGAATTTGAAAATATAATACCAGCTCAGAGATTTTCATAAAATCATAGAAAATGAGGGTTGAAGGCACCTCAGGAGGTCACATTTAGTTCAGGCCCCTGCTCCAAGCAGGACTAGCCCCAACTACATCATCTCAGCCAAGGCTTTGTCTACCCAGTCTTAAAAACCTTTAAGGATGGAGCTTCTCCCACCTCTTTGGGTAACTTGCTCCAGTGTTTTACTACCCTTCTAGTGAGGGAGTTTTCCCAATATCCAGTCTCAACTCCCCTTGCTGCCACTTGAGCCCATTGCTCCTTGTCCTGTCATCTGCCCCCACTGAGAACAGTCCAGCTCCATCTTCTTTGCAGCCCCCCTGTAGGAAGTTGAAGGCTGCTATTCAATCCCCCTCGGTCTTCTCTTCTGCAGACTAAAACAGCCCAGTTCCCTCAGCCTCTTCTCACAAGTCATATCTCCCAGCCCCACAACCATTTTCGTTGTCCTCCACTGGACTGTCTTCAATGTGTCCACATCCTTTCTGTAGTGGGGGGCGCACAGCTGGACACAGGACTCCAGATGTGGCCTCCCCAGTGCTGAATAGAGGGGAAGAATCACTGCCCTCGATTTGCTGGCAACGCTCTTAGCAATGCAGCCCAGGATGCCAGTAGCCTTCTTGCCAACAAGGGCGCACTGCTGGCTCCTGTTCAGCTTCTTGTCCCCTGTCAGCCCAGGTCCTTTTCTGCCCAGATGATGCTTAGCCAGTTCATCCCAAGCCTGCATGGGATTCTTCCATCCTAAGTGTAGGACCTTGTTGAACCTCATGAGATTTCTTTTGTCCCAATCCTCCAATTTTCAAGGAGAATTCATCCCCTCTCTCAGTTTACCTGCAAGAAAGAGCACAAGCCCAGAACATGCTGTTCCAGGGGTATGTGCCTAGCTGAAGTAAGGGATGGGGTTGGATTTAGCTCATCTTAGCAGTCATTGGGAACCCACATCACAGCAGCAGCTGATCCAAAGCAGCTTTCTTACAGAGTGCTTCGGTATGCTGAGGTTTTGCACAGTTAGGATAGTTACCTATCTACACCCACTGCTGATCACCACTGTCCCTCTTCTCCCATAGACTGGGCTCAGTCCTTCCTGGTCCTTGAGAAATACATAGCCGCACATCAAAGATGATGATGGAATGAATATGAAAGAAGCTAGGCAGAACCAGCAGCATGCTGGTTTCCACATAGCTGAGGGCGATTTAGCAGTGCGGTCCCTCCTGTGAAAGGGACACCCTTGCCGGAGGCAATGGCATTTAGCTGCTGGGGGAATACATCATTACTGAAAGAAAAGGGAATGTGGAAGCAGAAGAGTCAACAGCTCTAAAGGAAAGCGGGTGGTTGGTAGTTTTCCTTGTGAATGCATTTAATGCTAATCAAGGTTTTTTGAGAAATGTGATATCTTTTATTAGACCAACTCAATTACTGCTAATAATCAACTGGTGGGGCTTTGAACAACAGCTAGTGCCTGGTGTGGAGCTTACAGATGTTGTCTAAGTTTCCACACAGCCCAGCTTTGCCAGCCAGCTCCATGTTGACCTTGCCATTGCAATCCTGAGATGTTCCTGAAGTGAAATGCCTGTGTCAGTGGACTCTGCCAAATGAGATGGGGATTTCCAGTGGCCAAGCCTGGGAGGGTTGTTTCCCTTGTGACCCAAGGCGAGTTCTCCATCTGAGCAGGCAGCGTCTTTGTACCTTCGTACATCGCTCTTGGGTGGAGAAGAAGAAGATTAATGAAGGTTTGGGGAATTAATGACAATGAGGTTGTTAAACGATGATCAGAGCTGTCAGGGAAATTATTTTTTTCTGTGGAAAAATATTTAGATGAAAGCATTTTTTAAAATCAGAGTTGCTCTTAGCAAAAATAGTTTTTTGATGCGAAATGCAAAAAAACCCCCTAAAGTAATATGTTGAAAGCTGAAATGTGTCGTAAAAGTTCCTGTTTAGACAAAAGGCATTTGTTCATAAAATATCTATCTATCTGTCCATACGTTGGTGATGTGTAGGGGGTGCACGTGCACCCCCTGTGATTGGACGCTGCTGACGGCACCTGTGGGCCATTGGTGCTCGCCACCCCCTCCACCCCCCTGTGCCAACACCGCTATGGCCGCCTGCCAGAGCTCTCCGCTTGCCACTGCCACTATCGTCGCTGCCTGTGGGCAGTTGCTGTGCTGGGGGCACGCGTCATTCATGTATACATAGATATATAGTTGGTCAGAAAATTTCCCACAAACTCTTATAATGGTTCCAGATTTCAGTCCTTCCGAAATAGTTTATTTTCTGCCTTAATTTGTCTTTCTTGGTGGTATGGCACATAGCAATGACAAAGACATTTCTACCCTCTATTTGATCCAAAGCCCACTGAAAACAATAGCAGCCTTTCCAGTGACCCCAGTATGTGACTAATGGGGGCCCTGCTTTTTCACACTGGCACACTAACACAAGCTTATTCAACACTGGTGGTTTTGGAGGGGTTGGTGGGGAGAATGGGACAGTGATGTCCTAGTTTATATCTGCTTGCATTGCAGTATGCTGGGGGACAAGTTTAAAGTCTTACTTTCTATCCTTGGAAGAACTCCTCCGTCACTGAAATAACAATCACAGCCCATTCATGCTCTAACTGGCTTTTGTCTGAGCCTGCTGGCAGGGTAGAGAATAAAACATCACTGCCTCTTAAGGGCTGTATAACATTCCAGCTGAAAATTCCTCTTTAATGCATATTTCAAGTGTTCCATAAATTCTTTCCTTCTTTCCCCAAATCTGCTTAATGGCACAGTAAATTGGGTAATAGGAAGACCAATTCACAGCCATGGAAACGTGCTCAGATACTGACTCCCATGCTTTTTTTTGTTCTTTAATGTAATTTTTGCTATTTTGTTTGGAAAATATCCTTGAAAAGGAGCTTATTTTCCAAGCCAGTCACATCCTGGGATCCTTGTGTGTCAGTGTATGTGCCTGTGTCTAAGTGCAAGAAGTAGGCAGAGTCCTGGTGAAACCTCTGTCTCTCTCTCAGTTCTGTTTGAACTGCACATCACAGCCCACCGACTGACAACTGCAAAGAAGTTAGTTACTGTGCATGGGGGAAAAATCCTGCATTGCTTTTATCTGATCAATATTTTAAAAAGTTGCTTACCTGTAGCTGCAACGAATAGCTTGCTTAGCCAGTATCTTAAAGGAGCCATTGCTGGAGAAGCTGAGAAAGAGTTTAATAATCCTGTTTTTTCCTGCCCTGAAAGCTTCCTTCTGTCCTAAGGGTTGTTTCCCCCTTTGTATGTGGGTATCTCCCTTTTATCAGCTGCACTCAACACTTCTAGAGCACTTCATATTTCTTCAGCACTGCACAAACTTTATCTAGCTTATATTCACAGCCTCTTCTGGCACGGAGTGGGTTTGAGCTCAGCTTTACAGATGGGAACATTGAGGTATGGAGACTAAAACGTCTAGACTCTGTCACCTTTTCATCCAGTTTTTCCATGCAGGTGAGAGGCTTTGAGATCTGCAGGCAGGGCACTGGTCTGGACTAGTGAGATCTGGGATTGTTTCCAAGTTTCCCTTCTCACCTACTGGGGAACTGCTAGTAAGTCACTTTGGTTTTGCTCCCTTTCTCCCTGTGAGTCTATTAGAGCAGTAGATGCCCAGTGAAGAAACTCTTGCTCACTACTTGCTGGCAGCTTGGAGCTTAACTGGGGCCTGTATATTCTATTAAAATGCAAATAGTAAATAAGTAATAACTCAGTGGAAAGGAAACTGCTGGAAGCAGACCCAAAGGCTACATTCACCCGGACAGGGTTGACCTCAGGCCTGTAACCACTAACCCTCCACAGCTGATGTGTCTGGGGCCAATTGAGGGATGATCTTAGCATCAGTGTAATCACACAATTTGCCTTTGTCCCCAAAATGGCGTGCTATCAGGGCCAGAATTAGAATTTGGAAATTCTTGCTCCCAGCCTTGTAGTCCATCACACCATCCAGCTTCTTCCTGCTTAGCACTGTAGCCACTTGAAACAATAAAAATAATACAGGTTGCTCTTGGAGGAATGGGAGTGGGGAAGGGACTAATTAATTCTTGTAGCTGTTGCAGTGTTGGACATTGTGTCTAGATTTAAGCTAATTAAAAATGTGCAGCAATAATGAATAAAGGTTCAGGATAATGGACAAATATGGAGGAAGGACAAATAAGTCTGGTTAAACTAAGAACAGGCTTGGACTTTTGCCTAATCCTTGTGGTATTTCCAACCCAAGAAATACTGGGCAACTGATGACAGCCAAATCTCATGATGCTTCCAACCAGCTTGACAGACTGCAGGCATTGGACTTAGCTTTGAGCTTTGGATTTATAATTGAAAATGTTTGGGGTTTAGATATTAACAGGTGTCTCTGGATGTTTGTGCCAGGACTGTTTTGCACCTATCAGAGCTGTGCAAAGCCAAGAGGTCTACATGGAAGGAGTTCACATTATCCTTTCTTCCAGTCCTGGCTAGTGCCGGGCTTGTTCACCTGCCTTGAGTTTTGCTTTCGAATATTTGTTTGTGAACCTGAAACAGAAATAAAACTTAGAAGCTCCAAGATGAACATAGTGCCCGAGTCCTTGGAATGGGATCAAGGCTCATTCAGAATGGCCATGCGCCTCCAATGGTATTGACACTAAGCAGAGTTTGGTCTGTGTCACAAAACCTCCAGGCCAAGTCAGTTTTGCGTTTTGCTGGGCTCTAGTTCTAAATCAGCTTCCTGCTGGGGGAAAGGGCGCTGAGCAGATGGCCTAAGGTTAAAATAACCCTAGGAACATTAATCCAAGAATTCAAGAATTAATTAAGAGCGGCTCCAAAAATGTGGAGTAGCTCCATTTATTTCAGTAGAATAATACCTTGGGTAGACACCGAAAGCAGAATCTGACTACCCAGCAACCTGAGAAATCATGCCATTATTAGTATACTATTATTATACCCCTGAATCTTCAAAACACAGGGGACCAGACTGCCTTCCCTTGTAGCTGGGCATTTCCATTGTAGCCAGTTGGAAGAAGGCAGAATCCAGTTGCCTGAATGTGCTTTATGACTAAAATA